GCAGCTGGGCGGATGTGCTTCACTCTGTCTTCACAGGTCTGACGCCCTTGGGCACATTCTGCCGCAGCTGGGGAAGGACTGGACTCACCATGGCATCGCGAAACTCTACCACAAAATCCACCAGTAAGCTCAAGTGCGACATGCATGCATTAACATGAGAGTAACCTTTTTTAGACTGCATGCCCTTAGACTTACTGGCATCCATTCTCTTTTTGCAATTGCTGACCCTTTATGCTTTTACACACTGATCTTTAAAGGAGTAAAGCCACTTTCAATGCAATTCAGTTTATTTTAGTATAACGCCTTTCACTACAGAGTTTCCCCAAGGCTATTCATGGGTGTGTTGTGATACATTACAACATAAATAATACAAAAACAGGGAGAAGGAAAGACAAGGAAATTAAAGAAATAAAGCCAGATGACAACAGAGGAGAGGAACAAAAACCTCCCAAGTAGGGAGACAAAAACTTCTGGGGGTTGAAGGTCAGCTGGCTGTCCAACCCCCCCGGGCACGCTAACATTATAGGAAAATATCCTTCCATTGTTGTGATCCTGTGCATTTGGGATGTGTTGGGATGTGTTCTCCCTATCCCATGGGGATGACAGGTCTATGTACCTATCTTTTAGCAGCCTGTGCTGATAGTCAGGCTCGGTGCCCTGCTTAGTGCAGTGTCCACTACTGCCTGTCTTTCCATCAGGAACGGCTACAAGTTCCTGTACTGCTCAGCGCGTGCCATCGGCATGGCAGACATCACAAAGGGCTACCTGGACTGGGTCAACGACAAGGGGACGGTCCTGCCCAAAGGGCCCGTTCTGCTCGCTCCCAGCAGCCTCTTCTCTGCACTACACAGGTACAGTAACCTCTTATGCCATCATCGCCCCCTACTGGGGTGGGGGAGGTTATTTCACTAGCTCTAAGGGTAATATGGGATGCCTTTGTGGTCTCCTGCAGGGAGGTGATTGAAAAGAAGCCAGAGGTGTTCAAGATCGCCTGCCTGAGTGACATCCGTGACCTCTTCAGCCCACAGAAGCAGCCTTTCTATGCAGCCTTTGGAAACAGGACCAATGTAAGATATTTCTGGACGGTCGCCACTTAATATTCTGTAGCGGTTTCACGCAGTGATCTTGCATCCGCGTTTTTGCCGCCTTTTGCAGGATGCTTATGCTTATAAGCAGGTGGGAGTGCCGGAGATGAGAATGTTCACCGTCAATCCCAAAGGAGAGCTGATCCAGGAGAAAACCAAGGGAAACAAATTATCGTGAGTAGCTTGTCCTCGGCGTCTGGCATGGAAGTGTTGGTGCCGCTGTGTGACAGGCTGCTCTTTGTCTCTGTGTCAGGTACTCGCGGCTGAGTGAGCTGGTGGAGCATGTGTTCCCCCTGGTGGTGCGGGGCAGGGCCTCCTCGCTGGACTGTCCGGACTACAGCCACTTCACCTTTTGGAGGGAGCTCCTCCCACCGCTGGACCTCTCAGAGCTGGCGTAGGCCGCCCTGTGCCTGATCGCTCTCACTCTCTCACCTCATATTAGAATAGAATGACCTTAATTGATCCCAAAGGGAAATTCCTCTCTGGAGCTCTAAAAATATGGCTTAGCAGTGATCCTGCCTGGTGCCAATGGGACTTCCCTAGGACATTCATGCAATTCTGCACAGCAATTCTGTAACAGACCAAAGACGCAGCATGTGAAGTAAATGTCCAACCTTCCTGACAAACTGGGCAGTTTTTTTTTTTTTTTTGCTTGTTTATTTTTTAGCACTTGATATTATCTGACACAAAATGTGCAGAATTTTGCAAAGGGATATCGCAAATGTCCATACACTGTAACACTACCCGTGTCTTGCAACCATGGTAAACGATGCAGGGCCTCCATCTGCACAAAGTTCATCGAACCCAGAGTCAGTCCTAATCTGTGTGCCATCGCTCAAGCCGCACATCTACAGTTCAGAACCAGGCCATGTCAGGACCGAACTGGCCTGCTGACTATAGTCAGCAAATGGAATAAATGCTTATATTCTTATGCCAAGTGTCTGTTCCAGCACCCAGACAATATACATATTTTTATTTTGAAATGCAAACTTCAGTTATTCACAAGAAACCACTATGTACATTTTTGCATTGATTGCATAAATATATATCTGCATGTCTGCTATACAGCAAAGCACTAGAATAATTCTTTGACATTTAATAATGTATCAAAACATGTCTGAAAGGACCAAATGTTTACAGCTGGGCTAATATATGCATATTACAGAGGTCTCCTTTATAAGCTGAATTTTCTTCCGGGAGTAACTGGACCTGAAGTGCCATTTTATTTATGTCTTGTTTTGGGATTGTTTGTGTTTGTTTGTTTTTTTATTCCCACTGTTGTTAAAGCCAGTTTCAGTCATTTCATAGATTTAATTTCACTGTTGAAGTGTTGAATTTTATTCCAACCATAATGTATGTATTTGCATAAGATAAAGTTTTTCAAATAGCTGTTTCTCAAGCCTAGGATAAAAAAAAACCTAATCTTCATTACTTCAGGTGAATCTATGGATCTGGAGTAAAGTAAAGACAGAGCAATCAATATAATGGTTAAAGGGCAATATGTTAAATTTATAAAGAGAGAAGGGTGGCTGACCTTATTTTTTCCCTCAGTTTTATAATCGTTATTTGTCATTATTTGAATACGCTTCAACTTCCATTTCAGTGCAATGCAAAATTGACAATTATTTGCAATTATAAAAAGCACATTTAATAGTGTCTGTTCTCTGTCCTGTGATACTTTGTACTTGTAATTAACAATGCCTTTTGTTGCCTTTAACCCCCAAGGTTTGCCAGAGCTAACCCTTCTGTTGCAGCAGCAGCACAGTAAGATGCTGGAGAGACTGGAGAGGAGCTTTGCTGAGGCTGGCAAACTTGGCTGAATGTGACTAGGGCTCATTCACACTTTGAGGGTGGATGTCAGACTGCTGTACTTCCATCTGATATAAAACTATGTTGGGGGAAATAAAGTCATTGAAGAGACAGTTAAGAAAATGCTCTCATTTTAGTGTGTGGTTTTGTTCTAAGGCAGATGTGTTTCAAAGAGCTAATTTATGTTATTTATGTTAAATGTAGGATTGGTCAGGATTGGTCTTTGACAGTGCTGGTCAAAGCCTCTTGTGCCCAACAGGTGCTTCTAAGTCATAGTGTGTTATGTCTTTGATTACATTAACTTAACGTTAATTTCGATATCTGAGATGGAGAATAATACAGGGCCGCCAACTCGCGCATCTGACATGACAGGCGTGCTTTCAGACCCACACGGGAATTCTTACGGCAAACCGATATTATTCCGTTATAAACCTAAAATTAGCTACACCAAAAATGTTTGGGCAGTTTTCAAACCCTACAGACTATACTTACAAGGTAATAAAAAAACTGCTCCATGAAATGGAAATTAAAATGATCAACCTACAAAGGGCTGAATTCAAAGAGACCCCGAAAATCAAAGTGAAAAAATTATGCGGCAGGCTGGTCCATTTTGCCGAAATTTCATTGCAGCAACTCAAAATCGTACTCAGTAGTTTGTATGGCCCCCACATGCTTGTATGCATGCCTGACAATGTCGGGGCATCCTCCTAATGAGATGCCGGATAGTGTCTTGGGCAATCTCCTCCCAGTTCTGGACCAGGGCATCACTGAGCTCCTGGACGGTCTAAGGTGCAACCTGGCGCCGTCGGATGGACTGAAACATAATGCCCCAGAGGTGTTCTGTTGGATTTAGGTCAGGCGAGCGTGGGGGTCAGTCAATGCTATTAGTTCCTTCATCCTACAGGAACTGCCTGCTTACTCTTGCCACATGAGGCCGGGCATTGTCGTGCACCAGAAGGAACCCAGGACCCACTGCACCAGCGTAGGGTCTGACAATGGGTCCATGGATTTCATCCTGATACCCAGTGGCAGTCAAGGTGTCGTTGTCTAGCCTATAGAGGTCTGTGCATCCCTCCATGGATATGCCTCCCCTGACCATCACTGACCCCCCACCAAACCGGTCATGCTGAACAATGTTACAGGCAGCATAATGTTCTCCGCAGCTTCTCCAGACCCTTTCATTTTGTAGGGCTCTGGCAGTGCTCATTCTGTTCCTCCTTGCACAAAGGAGCAGATACTGGTCCTGCTGATGGGTTAAGGACCTTCTATGGCCCTGTCCAGCTCTCCTAGAGTAACTGCCTGTATCCTGGAATCACCTCCATGCCCTTGAGACTGTGCTGGGAGACACAACAAACCTTCTAGCAATTGGCATGTATTGATGCGCCATCCTGGAGGAGTTGGACTGTGCTGTGCAACCTCTGTAGGGTGCAGGTATCACCTCATGCTACCAGTAGTGACACTGAATGTAGCCAAATGCAAAACTAGTGGGAAAACAGTCAGAAACGATAAGGAGGGAAAAATGTCAGTGGCCTCCACCTGTTAAACTATTACTGTTTTGGGGGTCGTTTCATTGTTGCCCCTCTAGTGCACCTGTTGTTAATTTCATTAACACCAAAGCAGCTGAAACTGATTAACAACCCCCTCTGCTACTTAACTGACCAGATCAATATCCCAGAAGTTTAATTGACTTGATGCTATACTCTGATTAAAAAGTGTTCCTTCAATTTTTTTGAGCAGTGTATATACATATATCGGCTATATATGCGTGTGTGTGTGTGTGTGTGGCACGCAGGCTGAGTCTCATGTCAGCCAACTGACATGTACAGTTTGTACAGTTTCATTTATTGTCTGTGTACTAGGGAGTATGTAGCAGCCGGAACCAAATTCCTTGTGTGTCCCAGCAGACTTGGCGAATAAAGCTGATTCTGATTCTGACCAGAGTTGGCAACTCTGATAATATGAGCCAATATTTTTAATAGAGTTGAATTTGTATTCTGAATATGAATAACTGCATATGCGATTAAATGACAATGGTGTGGATCATTTGACAGCCTACTTAACTTAGAATGTCCGTGCTAAACTTAATTGCCACACCCTTCCCCACTCCCTGATGACGTAGCTGTCGGCCCTACAGAGGGGGTGAGTACTTCTGTGGGCGCCAAGCCTAGTTCAGTAACGTGCAAAGACTTGATGCATTATTAGGGTTTTCCATTAGGTGGCAGCATTGATTTTCACAGAGCCGGGATCCAGAAAGAAAGGTTAGAAGAAGAATAGTCATTATGGGTGATTTGGATGAGCGATTGTGTGAGGAGGTGCGGAGGAACCCGCACATATATAACGCGTTTTTGAAAGAGCACAGGGATATATTCCTGTGCGGGAATTCATGGAAGCAAATCGCCCAAACATTGGGTAAAGATGAAAGTTACTGTAGGGTAAGGTGGAAATATCTGAGAGACAGATATGTGAAAGCAAAACGGAAAACCGCTGGAAGAAGAGGCAACAAACGCTCACCTATCCTAGCCATGCTGGGCTGGCTGTCAAGTTACGTTAGTCACAGGGATACGGACTCCAACGTGGCCAGTGATGTGGTAAGTAGCGAATTGCACTAACCCAAATTAATTCGCTGTGTGACACTATTGAACTAGCTAGTTGTTTATAAGGGGTAGCTCTAGCAGCTAAACCAAAAACTTATCTGAACATTATATTTGTGTTGCACCTTGTTGGCTCCGACTAAACAAACAAACAAACGATGCGAATATCGGCTAATTTGAGTGCGGAATGATTGATTGCAATAAAATGTGTTTTGTGCACCGTGCATGTGAGTATTGCAGAATCAGTTTCTTGAAGCGACTGGATCGAAGGAAGGAAACACCGTCTACTTTTTAGGTAGTGCTCTGGGACAGCATTGCTTTTCAGCATGTTACCTGGTGCCTGTACATTACGTAATGCATCCTGTTATCGTCATTTCAGACCGAGGGCTCCAGTGAAGCTGTGACACAAGCAGGCCCGCCGCGGAAAAATCCCAGGCCCGCTACAAAATTATTTCAGCTGGGCCCTCACGACGTGCAGCCCCTCCCCCCTGGGCCTCCACCTGGGTCCGGGCCCGGAACAACTTCCCCAGTTGTCCCACGGAAACGGCAGTCCCAAACACTGGAATCGGAGTGCATCGCGTCGGGGCCCTCTGTCGCTGACATGGAGCAGGAGACATTTTCAGAAAACTTATGCCTGCCGCCTCCACCACCATCCCCATCCCTATCGGAAATGTCAGACCAGAGCTCACCTGAGTCTCCATTTCACCACTGCCAGAGATCAAGAAAGAGGAAAGAATGCCAGACTTCTTTGACTGAAGCAGTGATGCTGCGTCTGCGGAAGATTGATCAAGAAGGTGGCTGTGAGGAGCTCTCCTTTGGGCGATATGTTGGCCAGGCACTTCTAAAAATGGACCAAAAAACAAGATCCTGTGTGAAATTTGAAATCAATCGGGTGCTGCACAAGTGGGAGATGGAGCCACACCGTGATGGAATTGTCTGATACCTGCTGCATTACAGGCACAATGCATATGAGTACATCTAGTGAACTCTGCTTTTACAATTATTTTGAAGATGGGCTCAAATTATACAATTCATAGGGCTGCACCATATTGGGGGAAATAGCTTTGTGATATTTCACATTTTTATAACTATTGTAATATTTATTAAAAATGAAAATCTAGAAAATAAAATCCAAAATAAAACACAGCCAAATAGAACCTGTATTGTCTGCCAGTAGAATTTCTCGGATGATTTGTTGGTGGTGTGGTGAGCTGTGCTGATGCAAAGCAGTGCCTACAAATCCCTTGTTTTTGCTAAATATCTATGGAATCCAAAATATTTTCATAGAGTGCAAGACCGTGGTCTTTTGGTGACTAGTGCTTGTTCACTTTTCTCCTCCACTAATTTTTCTTAAAGTTCTCACATTGTCTCTTAGTGACTGAAACAGCAAGGATGAAAATTATTATGCTTGGATTGGAGAGTGTGTGCAGGACTCATGTGACCTTTGCATTGTGTTTTTTAACATGCAATATGATATTGAGTGACTGTTGCGGTCCTTGCCGTGTGATTACTGCATGTACATAAAGCATGATGTAGATATTAACATCGTAGCTTACATGCAGTGACCATCTAACCCTTGTCAGGGGGACACTATGAGCTACGACAGGGTTTGTAAGCTACCATTTCAATCAAAAGGATCTGGATTTCACTTAAGCACTGAGTTCTTGCTGTGTGCTGATTGGTTGGTCTCCTATAATCGTGCATCTGTCACTGATGTTAATGTGAAACAGCTGGATTAGTCTTTCAATCAAGGAAACAAACCAGTAAAAGCACAAGAAGAACTGAACTAATTAGCCAAGCGCCTGAGCCTTTTGGTTGTAAAGTAGTTTGTAAAACCTGAAGTAGTTCATAGCATCCCTCCTGACATGGATTATGCAGGCCTAGTTAAACTGTTGATTTTGCCTCTGTGGTAGTTAGTTTTATCATATTACAATTTATTTCTGTAATAAAAGTATTAAACCAAATCCACGACCAGTGTTAGAGATGAAAAAAATGACAAATCTTACATAAACTAAGGAAAAAATATAGACCTATACGTTACCATATAAAATTGATTATTTTGCGTTACATATAATAAAAGATGAGATTTTAAAACATTTTATATAGTTTTTTAATATAGTTTTTTTTTAATATATATATACACTTTTGTCAAATTTCTCAAGTTTTTTTGTTCATTGTCTTACATTATATTTAACTGTAACAACTAAAGTTGTTCATAAAAGATAAGCAACTTCACGAGCCTGCTTTTATTTGTTTGTTGCATTACATCATCTTCCATGGGTTCATTCTACAATGATTAACACGTGCGGACAGGGAGTTCACTATTACCTGGAGAAGGAAGGGAGAACAGACCAATCGTCACACCTTCCTCTTGCCACTGTGCCAGTGCTTGTGGAGTCTGAAAGAAGGTCTTTGCTGAGAGTGATACCTGTAGACAGGATGGTAGACAGCCGCGTCGGATCCTCCATTCCACTTAATGAATGTGTCCATTTGAAGTTGAGTTTTACTAGGTGAACATCATTTACGGTTTATGTGATTGATCAAATAAATGAGTTTTGGCATTTTTCAGGTTTGTTCAGAGAGTTTAATGTTTTAGCAAATAAGAAAAACCAATAAGACTTGGTCTACGGCCAGAACAGGCGCGCTTTAATACATTTTCAGTTCCTTTATGCTTATGTTACATTCAAGCATTACAAATAGCTCAGTGTCAATATTAGATTTGTAGCGTATACGACCTACTTATTTTTACATTTAAAACACCCAATTTCTGTCAATAAAGAAACAAAGGACTACGAATCCCACAATGCACCATCAAACAAATATCCAAAATGAAACGGGAATTTAAGTCTTCTAACAACGCAATTCGCCGGATTGCGATGTCAAACATCAATATGCATCCCTATTATTATACATTCGTAAGGTAAACTTAAAACCAGTGTATTTTACCAAATAAAAATGAAAATGTTTGAAGGGCTCTCGCAGCGTTTTTTCATGTCGTTTCCCAGGTTCTTAAAAAGTATGACACACTTTTCCAAAAAAGGAGTGGGGGCGGGTTTTGCGGGGCGGCCGCTGTCAGCTGACTGGGAAAATTCGCGAGCCGGCGCTATTAGCTGCTTTCATTTTTGTTTTTCCAACTTTGTTCTTCGTTAAGAATAGTAAAAATTACCATTCAACTGTCTCTTTAGTACAGTAGCCTTGGATATTCAGTCAAGGGATCTACATATTACTTTTCTTCGTTTATGTAGTGAAACTTCATTTAGTAAGTATACAGCTCGAATACATAGCAGCTATCTGATCTGTCTAGATACTGAATCCCTTTGTATATCGCTGTATATTTGTGTGTATTTATAATCCATATATATTATTCATATGGTGCTTTGGGTCATTTTGCTCTATTTAGGTTTCTTTAAAGGTAATGTATCGTCACACTCCGATGATCTCAGGATATTTATGAAGTGGGTGTTTTGTGTCATGATCATGGGATCGCTGTGTTATTCCTGTAGGGGGTTTGAAAGTAATTCAAGATTTCGTCACTGGCTACTCAAACTAGGTTAATAACGCGGCAGGCTTTTGTTAATGAAGCGGGCTTTCATTCTGATGGGAATCGGTGACGGGAGGGACGCTTCGCCAGCGCGCGGGTGACATTTGGTGGCGCACGTGGTGCCATTTCAGGGGTTTGCATGCGCACCCCCCAGTCTGGATGTGTATGGAGGGAAAAGGGACAGTTCCTTAGCTATGGTGCATTCAATGAATCCCCGCGACGGGATTTTCTTTTTTGCCATCACGGTGTGGCTCCATCTCCCACTTGTGCAGCACCCGATTGATTTCAAATTTTGCGGTGGGTATTATCCGTCGAGACGGTTCCGGAGAGCAGAAGCGGGCGGTGTGTGAGCTCATTAACCGTGACTGTGAAGTAGGCGGTGGAGTGACCGCGGATTTGCCCTCCGCTCTTCCTGCCAGGACGGTCTGAGGCGGGGGCGGGAAGCGCCGCAGGACGCCGGGTGCTGCCGACGCGGCGCTGAGCTTTCGGGGATCGGCGGCAGCGGCGATGGAGAACGGCTCCGTTAGTCCCGTTTGGGGGGTGAACGGCGGAAACAACGGCACCAAGACGCACAAGTGTCTGCAGGTTCTTTACGAAGACATCGGCGACTCCTGGTATGTAGGGATATCAATTACACCACCTCCGCGTCCTTGCTTTGAGTCATTTTCAGATTATATTCTTTATTTACATAAAATTTTCTCTCAAATCAAGGATACAATTAAAACGAAAGGCAGTATAAATTTAGTTTGGTTGCGCCTGGACTGCTATTCTTTTATTATACTTTCATTTTCCATATTCATCCTGCAACGGAGGCTTTCGAATCTGAAAGCAATAAAAGCTTTTGCTGGAATTGGGTTTGCCTTGTTGACATGGTTCAATTCACACTGTCAGCTCTAAGATTTCCCCCCGTACATATCAGTACATATCAGTGTTATTTGTGTTGGTCCCGAGAGGTTTTTGCTGAGCAGTGGCGAGCATTGAGCTTACCTCTACCTTACCTATGTGTCAGTAACTCTGAAACGGTGTATCAGATAAGTGTGATGTGGTACTGCAGACTATTGTATCATCACCTTTTCCTCGCCAGGGTGCGTTTCTGGGATTTACTGCTCCTGGTGCCCAACGTGGCATTTTTCGGGTTCCTGTTGTGGAAACTGCCATCAGCTCGAGCCAAGATCCACCTCACCCCAAGCCCAATCTTCATCACCTTCTACATACTGGTGAGGAGGACTATCTTAGAGCATTGTGGCACTTATTCGCATGTATCTGACACTTTCAGCCATTGACAATAGCAACTGGTGGCTTTACTGGACGAGTTTTCAGTGTGGTTAACTAGTGCATGCAGTGTAGAGCATTGGGCGGTCCAGAGCAGGTAACCATCAGCATAACAGTCTCTGTCATATATATATGTAATACTGTGTGTATGTGCATGTGTTTATTTTGCATTGTTGACTTCGTCTGTCTGTGCGAATGGATGGTAGGTCAGATTTAGCGAGCTGTATCGGAAATGTAAGCGAGTATTTGTCAGCTGCCTGACTTTGAATGTTTAGGTGGATAACGAGGAAATTTGCTGCGACTTGTTTTTAAAAACGTGCTCCACTGACTCCTGCTTCGCTCAGTGGTTTTCAGCGGGTACCGTGAACATGTTCTGCAGGTATTTGTCGTTGCTGCGGTCGGGATTACCCGTGCCGTCGTCTCCATGACGGTCAGCGCCTCCAGCGCCGCTACCATTATCGACAAGGTAAGACGAGACGTCTCCAATCAGGAGGATCTCCCTGGTGCAAGCTGTGTTTTTTGGGAACTTTCCAGATTCTTGTTTTTGTTCCTTCTTTTGTGTTTTGTATTTCCCATGAACACACAGTTGCCTGTTTTCCTTGAATGATTATTCAGCAAGTTTTGTCGCTATAAAATGACTCATGCGCGAATTAAGGACAACGGTCAGTATGCAAAATCTCCCGTGATTTTACGCCAAATGTTTTTCTGAGTTTCCCCTCTTTGAAGACAACTGTTTTCTTTGTCACATAGGTATTACACGTCAACCTTCCCTAGTCTTAAGCCTAGTTGTAGTTGTAGTTGCGTGCCTGTACATTTGCATGCCTACTACATTTGTCGGTGTATGTACTGTAGGCTGTCATGTTCAGCTGGTGCAGAAAGTAGTGATATTCCACCAGACCAGCAGAGGGCAGATGTTGTCTTCTTGGTCTGAATGAAGCTTACATGTGAATTCATGCTACGGAATATGTCCTTGTGCTTTTTCAGTGGGAAGATATGTATGTGCAGGTTCTTTTGCACCTCTTGCACTATTGCACTATTGATAGTTATTGCAGCTGCTCATCAAAAGCATCTGTAATTACAACTGGTCTTCTTTCACTTCCATCTTTGACCTCAGCTCTGTGAAAGTTAGTGCTGCCACCTACTGGAAACACCTAGTCATACATTATCAATTCCTTGTACATGCATAGGAAATATGCAAAAATTCCACTGGGCTGCATGCTTATAGTCCCTGCAAACAATCATGGTGACAAAATTTACGCCACGCAAATTGCGTGGACCATAACGGCACGTGGATAAGTGAATTATAAATTAGGTTTTACCAGATTGACTGGGGTTGGCATGTGGCATAGCAGGCTAAGCCTCTGTGCCTGTGATCAGAAGGTTGCTGGTTTGAGCCCCAGCATTGGCAGAATAGGCACGTGTCTATGGGCCCGTGAGCGAGGCCCTTAACCCCCAGCTCCAGGCGTCCTGCATGCTGACTGACCCTCACTGTCACCCCACGCATGGTCTCACCTGCATGTGTGTCTGCGTGTCTCATGGAGAGCAAGATGGGGTGGGCAAACAGAGAGTTTCTCCCTGGGGATTAATAAAGTATCACTAAACTGTTCTCTTGATTCGCCAATGCAGCCCGGGGTGTAGCTGTCTGAATGGCTGGTATGTCGTCCCTTCAGGTGCTGTGGGAGATCACACGCTTCTTTCTGCTGGCCATCGAGTTGAGTGTCATTATACTGGGGCTGGCCTTCGGTACGACTGTCATAAAGCACATTTTGTGCATTTGTCATTTTGTAGGAAACCCCTTTATCTCTCAGCAAAAAAATTATGTATATGCAAATGTTAGGTAAAAATATAAAATATAATTTCTGTACTCCTGCTTCCTTAAAAGGCCGATGACATTTCCTGGAATGTAAGATCTATAAAAGTATATTTGACAAACACAGACGAAAATAATAAATAAAAACAATTTCTTGCCTGTGGAATACATGTGAATTACCAATGTGTTTCATTTTTGTATTGATAGTTATTGCAGTACTGGTCAGGTGACACTCATTAAACATAAGCAGTACTTTGTTAATATATCACATCCTTTGTACCGTGACATCTGCATTTATCTTTGGGTTTTATTTCTTTTTTTGCGTTTTATCTCCCTCTTGTTCCAAGGTCACCTTGAAAGCAAGTTGAGCATCAAGCGTGTTCTGGCGATCACAACAGTGCTGTCTCTGGGATATTCCGTCACACAGGTCAGAGGCTGTCTTGATAATGATAGTGGGTCTGCAACTTGTGATTTTGCCTTGTAGAGGAAAACTAGCAATATGTTAGTGAATGGATTTTATTAGCCGTTAATTGGACGATCCCTTATGGATTTTGAAAATGTGAGCGTTTGCATGTTTAAAGTGTCACCTGCAGATCTGTTGTAATTGATGTCAGTGGAGATCCTTGGTGCTTTAACATCAGACACTAACATCACCATTTGGCTAGTAACAGGGATCTTTGCAAACTGCTGATAATATGCTGATGAATATTGGTTGTGTTATTTTGGTTTATATTTCACTGTATAAAGATAAACTAATTCTACATTTTGGCTGGTACTGAAATTATATCGTCATGGAAAAGCAAATATTGAATGAAGAAGAGGGACTGAATGTCCAAAGTAGATTCAGGATTAACTGGCACATGACACATCTGTGACCCACTGATGCTGAGAGAGTGACCTGCCTGTGTCATGCTGCCTTCCAGGGCACCCTGGAGATCCTCTACCCTGATAGGCACCTGTCGGCAGAGGACTTTAACATTTATGGCCATGGGGGGCGACTTTTTTGGTTGGCTAGCTCCTGCTTCTTCTTCTTGGTAAGTCGGGCGTATTTTTGACGCTTAATCAGGAACACAGCCTTCTATGGAAACCAAAACCAGCTGCTTGAAGAATCACATTGAATGATTTTTTTGAGGATTAATTTTTCTTCCTCTGAATTTAAGGTTTACTCCTTCATAGTCATCCTTCCCAAGACTCCTGTGAGAGAGAGGATTTTCCTACCATGTGAGTGTAAATAGTTATTTTTTCATTATTAGTAAGAGCCCAACACAAAAGGTACTGATTTCCTTCGTGGTACAGCTTAATAAAATTACCAAGAGGACTTGTCGCCAACTCCTGTTGTGTAGGCAATTTGATCAGTTGAGATCAGTAGAAAGACAGTCTTTCTTGCTTAATATGCCAAATTTTAATGCACAGTGTTGTATCTACAGCCAAGAAGACCTTCTACGTATATGCTGCCATCCTGTCCCTGTTAAACTTGCTACAGGGGATCGGTAGCGCTCTGCTGTGTGCGGACATCATTGAGGGACTCTGGTCAGTTTTTCATCCTTTTTGAATTGGGCTCACATTTGATAATATGTTAAACCCAGGATTCATACTTGGTTGGACGTAATTTGACCATGCACACTCTGTGCTGGTTTAGTAGGCCCAAAGCTGTGAGTTTTTTTTATTTATTTTTTGCCTTGGCTCTTCCTCACACTGCCATTTGGTTGATTGTATTTGTGCTGATTCCTGGGTTTGTTTCCTTGCAGCTGTGTTGATGTGACCACATTCCTCTACTTCTCTGCCTTTGCACCACTCATCTATGTCACATTCCTTAAAGGCTTTTTTGGGTATGTTGTTTTCTTGCTTGCATATTTTCCTTAATTACTTAATCAGTAGTTAATAGGACTTCAGTATGAATTCCTTGCCTTTTTACCAGTAGGATGGCTCAGATGATTATTAGGCAGTTATTTATAATATTCCGCATGCTACTTGGCTGTGAAGGATAATATTTGACTGCAGTTTGAGTTCCTGATACTATCTTTGAGATCATTTGTGTCATAAAAAAATACCTCCATCACCAGCAATGACTGTTTGTCTCCATTTGCAGCTCGGAGCCAAAGATCCTCTTCTCCTACAGATCCCAGGTAGACGAGCCAGAGGACATGGATGTACACTTGCCTCCTACTTATGCTGTGGGCAGGAAGGACCTCTATCCCGACTTCTACTCCAGCACACACATCGACAGCTCCTCTGCGTACCTGGATGATGTTGTGTCAGGGCCTTATCCCGTGGGCAGCATCAATAGTGTGGACAGTGACCGCTGGAGGGCCTTCAACTCCTAAGAGGAGCTGGCTGAGGGAGCGAGACCATTCCTAGCAGGACAGTCACTCATAGATGCAGGGAAGGGAGCAGTATTCTGAAGCTCTCCCAAAGAGAGCTTGGTCCCATGGGAATCGGCCTTGTGTTTTATTCAGAAGATGCATTTGAGCTGCACAATCCACAGCCACCTTAAGTGTTACCCCATTAAAATAATTTTAAGGAAATCGACTGGAAAAATAATGTGAAAATTAGCGTCAGTGATCAGCTGGGACTCTTGGCTATCTGGCCGTATCTTTGCATGATATCTGTGAATTTGGATCATTTGTTCTCTGTGACCGTTTCGATACTTCAGCTCTGGTCCTGGAATGTATTACATCCGAGATTTGATCAGCCCTCCTGTGCTGTTAAAGGAAGGCTTTGGGGGAACTGTAAGATAGGTGGCCTTTGAATACCCTGCGCTGTGTGTATTCCAGGACGTTCTTTTACATTCCTGCATGTTGTGGGCTCCCCACGCGAGGCCTTTGTGCAAATGAGATTAGACTCTTGGCCTTGCAGAGGAGGTGGCCACGTGGCTCCTTTGCACCTCAGCGTTGAGCTAAATCAGTGATTCCTGAATTTCCAAGACCGTTTAAGATGAGTCTTCTTAGTTTTGGTCCTGGAGGTGAATGTCTATAAGATTTTGTTGCAGCCGGGTGCTCAACCACCTGATGCAAGTAACTGCCTTTCAATTATTTACCTTCTGAACTTGCTTTATTAATATTTCACACTTGATCAACTTCAATGTGCTTTTCAAGTCCCTAAGTTTGAGAGCCGCAGAACCTCCCTGGACTCTGCCTTTGAGGCCTGTGACCAAAAGCTGCTCGCACCACTAAAATCAGGTTCTGTGGAGTTCTTAGCACCGTTTGTTTTGTAGGAGACTCTCATTACTTTCATTTTCCCCACAGTTCCTACATTTTAATTTCAGATTGACTAATTCTGCAGATATGCTGAGTAATCGGATGTACATGAAAGAGACATTGATGGCAATCAACGAGGATCCGAGACCCGCGGTCTCTCTGCTTTATGGGGGGGTGGTGTGTTTTCTGTACATGTGTGGTGTGTGTATTTTATTTTTTTAATTAAAGAAAATATTTTGCACACAAAAGCTGAGTGTTCTGATTTTTTGCTTTGCAAGTTTAAATGAGACACAAGTTCTTAGTTTAACAGTTTTTACAGAATGTGACGTTTCTACGTAAAGTTATGTTTGCTGGTGTATATAGTAGCAAACTAGCCTTATCCTCTGGTAAAACAATGACTTTGATTTAAAAATTGCAGCTATTCCTCTGGTCTCAGATTTGGCCCTGAATCTGCTTGCATGACCTCTGTGATAATTCCTTTCTGTTTGTTGGAACCAGATCTGTCCATTTCCTTTGGCCACCTGCCTGCATGCTTTTCAGAACAATTCTTTTAAATTCAGTGATTGGTAGCAAGCGGGCAGGCCACCAATGGGGAGGCACATGGTCCGTCATGTTGAGTCCTTTGTCCAATCAAACACCTAGCTGCAGTAGGTGGTAAGGTAATGCTTCTATACTCACTAATTCTGGGGCCTGTGGGCGTTTGGCATGTATACGGATTTAATTAATAACTGTTTTTGTGAGTGAGCTAATTCGGCACCCCCCCCCAGACTCCTGAGGTTGTTGGAGGTCTAATGAGATGTGGAATTATTGTGTTAAGCCCAGACCTTCTGAACCAGGATGCAAAGTCCTAATTTAAGCACAAAGCAGCAAAACAAAGATTCCCAATAAGTCCAATGCTCAACACATATATTATTGTCAGTCACAACCACCAGGGAAGATAATAATTGTTTTAATGAATTATTTGCTTCAGGTGCCACTTTCTGCCAGAAAAAAAAAAGGTTTTTTATGTGGAGGAAATAATTGCATAATGTGTTTATCAGTCTTATTGTAATAGCTGATACTGTGTGTTGTGTTGACTGGGTTCATTGTCTGTCGCTTTTTGCATGCCCCGCCCTTGCTCTGCAGCATATAACAGACCCTTAGACATGTTTAAATTGTGGTGATTTTGAATGCATTTCCCAAAGACAAATAGCAAAATATAGTCTGACTGTAATAAATGATTGTACAGTATGTTAGGTAACAAGTTCCAAGTTAAATATGCTGTTCAAGATTCAAGATTGATGTCAGTGTTAATTGATGTAGTCATTTATCATAAGCTAAATTATTGTTTCTGAATAGTTTTTAATAATTTTTATGGATGAATGGTTTCACAGGCTTCTGAAAAGAGTTTTACTATTATTTGCTGTTAAATTTAATGTAAACTGAGGCCCTCTAGTGGTTCACGTGTTGCTGCAGTTTTATTTCTCTGATGTACGAATATAAAATTATCATCAAATTAATTACCACCGTTTTGTTCTGTTGCAAATAAATATTTAACAAGTTTTATCTATTGTTTAAGTTTGAAACATTATTTAAAAAGTAATTTTTTAAACAGAAAATCGAGGGTTCGGGACAAAACAAGGACAACAGGTCCCAGCGTCCTTTGCGACCGCGTAAGGACCATCATAAAACGCAATTGGCGTTTCGTTGCTAATCCTCCAATGGCAGTTCAGAATACTGCCCTGTCCAAGACGGTGACCTTTCTTAGAGTCCGCTATAAGAAATTCTATTCTAGATAAACCCGGTCTCCTTTAACATTAAAGCACCGGCGGCACAGGCGCCAAGTATGGGGGCCGGTGAGAGCTCGACCCGGAGAGTGTCCTTCGGTCTCGACGAGGAGGATCGGGTTAGAATCCTTAACGGAGTCAAGGTAATGATATCTGTCATACCCAAACCATAGTGGGCAGCGCGAATGTCACACGGCACCTAGGGTCTAGGAAAGTGCACGTTTACCACCATGCGATGAGGCCGTATAGCTAACTGGGGGTGAAAAAAATAGTTACTTTGGACAAAATGTTTCCGATGACCGGACGAACTCGCCTGACCATGGTGGTGGAACCGCAGGGTCCCGGCGATTTTCGTAGACTGGGTCTGGAACGGCGGTACCTACAGCTGTGCGGGTTAATTACATCTCGCTGCGGGGTTAAAAGGCTCCGAAAGCAGCGAAATTTCTAGCATGCGGTGTGCAGGACACGGCTCGGCGTGTGCTGATGTTAGGACAGTTACCCACAATAGCGATGGTGAAAGAGGACTACACTTGACTTTGAAGTCCATGTGGTTATTTGCTGCGTTATTTCTTTTACGTTTACTTTACATTGTGCGCAGTCTGCATTTTGATAATGCCTGAAGTGTTTGTCGTCATTGCACGGCGATTAAAAAGAAGCGAAAAAAACTAGAAACTCAACAAGGTCCGCAAAGAAATGGATGAACGTTTCACTCCCCCATTTCATTTAAGGAACATCCCATAAGTCCTTTAACCCTTTTGAAGGTCTTTGTGAGGACAAAGCATACAGGATCGTATTAGTATTTTTTAAAATCATTTAAAGAAGAATCGTAGGCCTATATGTAGACCAAGGCTGCACTATTCTCGTTTCTGTCCTGTACACCTGGAAAACATCTTGGTAGACATGAACAGGAAGCAACATTTTTGACCCCAAATGTCTCCAACCCTTTATTTTGTTTACCCTCTATTTGAGAGCAACAGATGTCAGATTTATAAAGTGTATGTTCGTTTTAATGATTTGGACCAGGGTGTTCTATCGACAAATGCTTTTTTGGGGGGGGGGTTGGGTTAGGGTTAGGCGTTAGGACTATCGATTAGCACTACGGTAGCCTAACTCGACAAAGAACACCGGTATCACCACAATCAGCATATTGTACTGGAGTAAAAGATTAATCTGTGGTTTTAATCTAGATTAATCTACAGGTTTGAGTCCTCGGCACCGGGAACTAGGACAGAGAGCTCTTTGTGAGGGGACAGCATTATTTATATTAACGTGTCCCATCTCAGCTCTCAGAGGATGTTCTGCAGCGGATGCGGGATGCAGCCCAGAGACCAGCCGCCTCTGACAGCCGCTCGGGGGAAGCCGGTAGTCTGCACCGCCTTGTCGACACCTGAAGCATAGATCCAATCTGGTTACATTGCCATGACATGCTAATCATAAAAGGGAAAAATAGGGCATGATTTAATATTGAAAAGCAATATAATATAATATTGGGACAAACTAATGTTGGGGTAGGTGTAATTGAGAACCATGCATATCGCAGCCCTACCAGAGCCAGAGGTCTTTCCTGATAAGACTGCCTTTGCAGGTAAACGACCAGGACCCAGCACCTCCGAGATGCAAGATGAGCTGCGCCGGAGGTAGGTGTCGAACCATGTTTGTTTGTTGAGCTGGGGATAGGAATGTTTCATTTAAACAAGGTTCAGCTTGTTTTATAGAGGAAACGTTGCATATGAAGAACTTAATTTCATCCTTTTAAAGTAACCACCGTGGAACCTGAGGAACCTTGGTGGGGGATTAGCGGCACCTTGCGGGGGGTCTTGGAATTGTTGTGAAAAAGATTACGTCAGTGTTTCTCGGTCCGGGGTCCGAAGGGACCGCGATGTGTCGTTTCTTATACTTCTCTCTAAACCGGCAGAAATACTAGCAATTTCTAAATATTCTGATAAAAGCCCCATACATTCCAGGAATCCCCCCTCCAGTGCTGCTTTTTCAGCTAACAAAGGACTTAATGAGCAGTTAAATTGTCTAGTTATGTAAATATGTGGGTGGTGGAATGTGCGGCAGCTGGGGGGTTGCAGGGGGGGTGATAGGCGAACTGCTGGATCAGCGCTGTCCCTGAGTGGTGACTGCGGTCAGTCATCCTTCCGCTCGGCGGAATCGTGACGGAACGTTCGCCCGTCGGGTCGCTGGTCCCTCCGTCCGTCTCCCCAGCCTGTGTGTTGCTGTGCAGGTATGAGCGGGAACGTGCTCTGGTCCAGGAGGAGCTGGCCCGCGTGGCCCGGCGGGAGCAGGAGGCCGGCCGTGAGGAGCAGAGCGCGGCCGTGCTGAGGGAGCGTGCCCGGGTCCGTGAGGAGGCCGACAGGGCCCAGCAGCTGGTGAGAGCGCCCCCCCAGTGGCACCTAGCAGAGCTGTGCCGTTCAGCCAGAGCGCTAAAGATCTCCACATGCCTGTGCTGAGCCCAAGCTAACATGCAAGGAGGAGGGGACGTGATATATATATATATAATATATACACACATGCACGCGTGCATACACACACATATAGCCTTAGAGACACAGTGAGGAGCTCGGACATTTGGGAGGGGCTCGAAGTACAGCCACTGCCCCCCTGCATCGAATAGAGCCACTTGAGGAGGTTCGAGGATCTATCTAGGATGCGTCCTGGGCGGCTCCCTGGGGAGGTGTTTTGGGCAAGTCCCACAGGGAGGAGACTCCGGGGCAGACTCAGGACACACACCCCCACCCATTCTCTTTAGGGTTTAAATCCAGAGGTTTTCCAGGCCAGTCAAGTGTCTTGATTTTCTTCTTGTTGATGAAACTCCTCACCATTTTCGACATGTGTCACAGGGCTAGACCATGCTGAAAGATGACTGACCCATCAGGAAATTTCCTGCATATGATGACGTGACCACAGGCCATCGAATAAGTGTCTAATGAAGGCATATTGTTGGCTTTCAGGAATGAAACTGAAAATCACTGCTTGTTTCAATTAATTCGCACAATGGCACATATGAAATTGGCGAGTATTTCCATCACTTATTTAGATCCATAATCTGTGATTATGATTTAGAGAGTGAATCACGCAGCACACAGTAAAACTGTCAACAAGTTGATAGAGTTCATGAAGACGATACAAAGATAAATGTTTTTTTTGTTCTTTTTATCTTTTTAATAATGTGCAAAGGAAGTAAACAGGAAAGTGAATATAAAATGCTGGCAGGCAAACGCAGCTGCTGTGGTGGGTTTGACGGGGGCCAGTGGACCCCCAAGTTCGTAGTATTGTTGTTGTATCTTGTCATCCTGCCAATAACTCAATCTTCCTGCTGGCTGATTCTGTGATGGGCTTTATACTGCTGAGTTACTGTGTGTGTGTCGTGGGGGGGGTTCTATTATCCACTGAATCGAGATCCTTGTAGCTGATAAGTCTTCAGATCAATTTGTCAAGGACGGGTGTGGAATTAGCAATAGCTACTCCGACTGTCCCCTGTTTTTAGTGTTTAAATGACAGGCTATTTTGTGCACTTAATGTAAATAATGAAAATCCAGTTTGGGTTTTAGACTTGATGAGACAGCAGGCTGGTCTTCGCTTAACATCTTGCCTTTGCCACCTACTTTCCCAAAAGACCCCCCCCCCCCACCTACTGTGATTAGACCAATGTTGCAATGCTGGCAATATAAGAGGCTCCCAGTCCCACTGTGGGTGGGATACAATGGGCACAGTTAGGCACTGCCAGATTTACCTGAAAATTCAGACGTTACAGCAGTTAATAGTTGACAGCAGGGGTGCATCGATAACAAATCGCTTTTGCCATTTAAAGGTTAAAATACATGGTGATTTCTTGTCATAATAGCGCACAAACGCATAAAACAAGCACGCGTTTGCGCTGTGACGACAAGAACTTGCTGTGCTTGTTGCTTTATATGCCAAATGCGTACATGTGTACCACTTATGTTAATCCCTGATTATAAGTTATAATTACATTCTTCTAAGAATCAGCGGAGCTTCCGCCGGTAACATTTCTCTGTGGCGGCCTCCACGCCAAAATCTCTTCATTGATATCAGAGTAAGCCCCCTGCCCACTGATGTTACATTATTTCTTTCAGGCTTGTTTAATGTCTATGTGAAGCCATTCAACAGCCGCTGCAAGTGGTTGCGGTCACTATGAACCCAGCACTGTTTTTTTTTTTTTTTTTTTTATTGGTGAGCGGAATTTAAATTAAATTAGACTTTGCAGCAGAAATGGCCCCCTGTCGCTAGGGTTGCCTAGTCGCTATGACAGCTAGCCTGGTTGCTACGGTAACTTTAGGTACCACTTTCCAGTAAGGCTCCCTTTGCCACTTATAAATGCTTGTAACTCATTAATATGAAGAAAACTGGTATAACTTGTTTATAATTGTCTAGTAATGATTTATAAAGTGTTACAGCCTAATTAATAACCTGCTTATAAACCATGTATAATCCCTTTATAAGGGTAGCCTTATTGCAAAGTGGCACCAAACTTTGAAATAGCCTTAAACTATTTAAATGGCAGAGTTCCATTCACATGAAATGATAGCTAGTTATGTGGTCGGTCTCCTCAATTTAGCTCATAAATTACTCAACAATAACAATAACGAAACATGCAAAATGGTCTGTCTGCATTTTTTCGCTGGTTCTGCCCCCAGGCCAAGCTTCTTGATCCACAAGAAACACTGCATTAGTCTCACCATACTTCGTAACTTTCTAAATGGTGGGTTGGAGAGTCCCGAAATGAGCGTTGGCATTCGTAGTCGGTCTTAGAAAAATGGCATTGGTGTGTCCCTAATCGACAGTGTAACTCGGAGCAGTTCGGCACTTCAGATTTACGTAATGGGGGGGGGGGTTTAAGTCTTCACTAGGGGGGTCTGATTTTAATGAAAATACATTATTTAGACTGAACATTTATTTGGGGGTGGGGCTAATGCTTATTTTCTGTTGCCTATCGCGCATGATGAAGACAGGCTTTCACTGTTTACTGCAAGGTAGGACTTACACCTTGCTTGGGTAGTACCCTAAAATTCGATTTCTTCTAAATGTAAAATAGGTTCAGCCATAAGTTCATCTTTAAGGTAATTTTTGTCTACTACTTGCTTTTTCTTGAGTCTTGAGGATTGATTTTTACCTTACTAATCTGCAGGGAAAAGTGGAATGCTTCCTTATATAATTGATGTTTTTTTTTAACTTATGCTACTGAAAAAAAGGATTTGGTATATTCCCAAATGAAAATTTATGATCAAAGATGTCTGTCTTTCTCTAGACTTCTGTGACAAATCACTTTCTTCCATTTTCTTTTAGTCTAGCCGTATTAAATTGGCTTTTCTTGTACCTAGTGAAGTCAAAAGGTCCCGTCTGGTCTCCAAAATAATATCATGTTAGGAGAAAATATCTTGCACTCTTGAGAATTTCCGTCCTCCGAAGACTTCTTCAGTCTGAACTGCTCTTCTGTGTATGAAAGTGAAATTATGACCTGAGTATGTCCTCGGGATGCAGATACTGGCCTGTGTTTCTGCACGCCGTCCTATTTCTGTGGCTGGCTGGAGAGATTCTGCTGCACCTTATCTCTGCTCCGACACGCGTCTGGCCGTTAATAGAAATTTGCAGGAGACGTGCGTGTATGGCATGTGTTTCGGGCTGAGGGAGCTGTCGCAGAGTTGTAATTGCAGTTCAGGCCCTCCGGGGGCTCTCTCTCACCATGGCTAAGGCACTTATAATGGCTGTATAACAAATCTCGCTAGTAGCAGTGGTTGCACCTTGTCTTCCCGTGGCCGTTCCCCAGATGTGCACTCGTTTCCTGTAAATGTGGCGAGAATTACAGCCGACTGTAAAGTTCAGAGAGCCGGGGTGTGATTTGGATGTTTTCATTTTGCTGGCTAGTTTCTTGTTAGTGGATTGAAATTGAGAGGTTGATGGTTTCTGAAGTGTGATCTCGCAATGAAGCAAAAAGCAGACTGAAGTATGTGGGGGAATGAAGTGAGATGATAGTGGTGGGTGGTGGATAGTTTTCAGTGAGAAGCGACTCGGGATGTTTCATGAAGGGTTTGAAAGGAGAGAGATTTCGGTCAGGACTGGCACCGAATGATGGCTCATCCTGAGCCTAGATGCAGAAATATTTCAGTGCTGAGTAGAATGGAGTGATTGACTAATGGAAATGTGGGTGCACCCTGTTTCGGCCTGGATTTATGATCACCGTGAAGTATGGAGATGGGCTGTATCGGTCAGTCTCCGCAAAGTAAGGGCTGGTTCGCTCAGCTTTGTCTTTTGAAGTGTCTGGACCAAGCTCTTTGTTTCTTCCACGTTTGAGATGTGACCCTGCAGCATGGCTGAAGTTCGCTTCTGGAGGCCAAAAGCGGAGGCCGATTTGCTCAGTCCTGCGGCTAACAGACCAGCCGTTCTGAGACCCTTTGACGGATCGGGGCTGTAAAACGCTCCGTAATGGAATCTGCATATGAGCTCCGGGATGAGAAGGAATTAGCTGTTGGGTGCCCAGGTGAGATTCTGGAGCGGGTAGTCCTGTCAAGAGGGTAGATAAATGTGCTGAGCCTTGCCCTCCTGTCCCGTCGCTCACAGTAACCTGTTCTGATCACCCCTCCCCCCTCCAGTCTGCCCACAGACCTGCGAAACCAAAAACCAAAACGAGAATAAATTGGTAATATGAGTGATTCCGACAGCCTCGCTACGGCACTTGAATACTAACCCGAATGGTACGCAGTCCTGATGGGGGCGATCTTGAGAGCAAGACAGAGCTCCTGTGTTGCATAAGTGGCGACGGACAAATGTCTCACTCTCAGGGAAGCCGGCAGTGTGTAGAAATGGACGCTCGTTTTGACAAATTTAGCCCCCACAGTTGGTCCTGGTGCCGGAACTGGCAGAGCGGGTGATGTCGTAAAATGCTGTACGACTTGATTCGGCTGTTACTCCATGAGAATGACGTGGGATATGTAGTTGTGTGTGTNCCCCCCCCCCCCCCCCCCTTTTTTTGATTGATGGACGGACAGTGTTTCTGTTCAGTACATTTCCTCCGATTATTTAGCTAAACTCATGACTTGTTTGTTAATACACTGAATGTTAAGGCGGTGCTTCCGCACTCGGCTCCTGAGCTGATTCTCGTCCCAACGAGCCTCCTCATGAAATCTCATGATCTGAAATAACGGAAGCTCTCTGAGTAGAGCTTGGATCCCCCCATTTCCAGGCCAGACCAAGGTGACACGGACTGTGCTCACTTCCCTAATCAACAGAGCAGCTGTGATGCTATAACCAGCATCCAGCTAATAAAATCCAGCTAACAACTTAGAGACCAGGGGAATGGTGGGACATGGGTGGGTGGTGGTTCTCCACATAATGAACCAGGGCCAAACCCAATTCACCACAAACCTAATACCGAGGCAGGAATTTGGCTGGCCCGGAAACGAGATGCCAAGGCAACATGCCCGCAAACCCGGATGAGGAACGCTGCCACACAGGAGATGCAAAGCTCCAGCAGACGAACACAGCCTCAAACCCGGAAACGAGACTTCTGGCAGAACCGAGCCAAGCAGTGACCCTCGCGCTCCTGTGAGGACCGTCAGACTAAGGCCCTGGCGAAGCTGGCTGTTCGGCCGGAGTAGGAGCCGGAGCCCCCTGCTTCCAGTTCGGAGTGGGATTGCATAGACCCTCATCAATCCCATAATCACTAGAGAAGCAGTTCAGGTGTGACGATCCCGCCGTGTAGCCGGTGTGTTACGCTTTCATGTATTATGATTTATTTGCAGACCTGGCCTGTCATCTGTTTGCAGACTCTTGCTAAAACAGTGAAGTCGCCCTGGTGCTTTTCAAGCTCCTCAGCAAAAATAAATAAATAAAGAATGAAAGAAAAAGCTGGTGGGGCCATTAGCTGACGTGGCTAATTTGCCGGCATTATCGCTGCTGTCCCGCTCACGCTGTTCACATTCATTCTGCTGATGTATCAGATCAGGCCCGCGTCCTGATTCTTGTGTGCGCTGCTGTAGTTAATTGAGCGTTTTCTCCCTTGTTCTGTGTCTTGGCACGCTGTGTGGGGTGGGGGTGTGGCTGCTGGCAGCATTCCTCGCTTTATTTATTTATTTGTATGTCTTTGTTTGTTTATTATGCGACGGCTGGGTAATTTGAAACGCTTAGGGGTGCGTTTTGCTGTAGTTTCCGGGCAGCCAGCGTGGGAACGAGCGACGCCCCTGTTCACGCGCGTGTGGGACTGCAGCCTTTGATGCAAATTTTATAAATAATTTAAGTCGAAGGGCAGAAATAGACGGAGGGATTCAGCCAATACAGTAATTTACTTGTCAACTCGGAGCCAAAATTGTTAGATGCTGTGGAGGAAGCTCAAGCCAGCATCTGATATTAATGGAAGAACTCTTCGTCCTCGNTGATGATTGCATTGTGTGTAATTTGGGCCCCCCCCCCCCCCCCAGCCCTCTCTGCAGCTCCAGTAGATCTTGCGGGGTATGGGGTGTGCTTCTCCTCAGCCGCACATGTGTACGTGAACATGAGTTTAGATAGATATTGTGTTTTACAGGAATTTACAGCATCCATCCATCCACCAATCACATGACCCATGAGCGGCCGGCGTCCAGGCGTCGGCTTGACCCCTGCTGACGCTCCACTGTTCCTCCTTCTCCCGGCAGGCTAAAGACCTGGCGCAAAAGGAGGCGGAGCTGAAGGAGCTGACAGCCTTTTACAAGGAGCAGCTGACGGCGCTGGAGAGGAAGGTGCGGAGGCCCCCAGGGCTCGTCTCCCCTCCCCACGCATCACAGGGCCGGCATCACGCAGGCCACCCTCATGCAGTGAGAGAGTAAATTGGCCAGCAGGTGGCGCAGTGGTTAAGGACGTGGGATCGTATTCTTAAGATGATCTTCCACAAGGGGTTCTGCTGTTGTACCCTTAAGTTAGGTCTTTGTGTGGACAAGGGGACGGTTCGACCTGGGAGTTGACGAGCGACACGTGGCTCCTGGACACGAGGGTACATATCTGTAGACTCCCCCCCCCCCCCCCCATGGGATGCTGCACCTCCCTCTTTCATGCCCTGCAGCGGCCGGTGCTCAATTATGGTGGCTGATCCTTCTGAGCTCATATCCAGCTGGTCCCTGGGAGTTCCTAACGACCTCAGAGATCATTCTAAGCCTATAACTACCTACCTGAGAGATCATAAGTACATACAAAACCTGTGAGCTCATGTCGCTGTTCGTGACGTGCTTAGTTATGCTCGTAAGAAGTATAGTTTTGAGGTTGTAACTGTTACAGTGATCTTATCGATCTTATCACGAATGCCCCCTCTAGTCCCTGAGAGGTCACATCTCTATGCGATGCCTGTGAGCTTGTAGAACTGTCCCTGCGATTAATCCCTTTCCCCTTAATACCCATGAGGTCATAAATATTTATGATGGCTCTGATCTTACTGATTGGTTGCCAGGTTCATTAATAAACATGTGCTCCCTGTAACACACCGCTTTACTTGTGAGCTCACTGACGAGCCTCTGTGAGATCATAAATGCACACAATACCTGTGCTCTCGGAGGTAATAAATACAGTGGTCCTTCTGAAGCCATTACCGCCCCAGAGGTCCTTTTGATCTCGTAGCCAAATACACAAAGTAACTACACGTGCTTTTAAGTGTGTTAGGCTGTTTTGCCTTGAGTGAAATACAGGCCTCTGGTCTATCGGAGCTCCTTATAGGAGAAGTTTATTTATATAGGAAACAAACAGTTTTCTGGTAACATACACTCGGGGACCTTTTTATTACGTATACCTAGCTAGTGACTTATGCCTGCAAAACCGCTTCAAGGGTAAACAAGTTGTGCATTCAGAGAAGGCTTTCTGTACACCACTGCTGTACTGGGCTGTTCGTTTTGCACTGGTATCCTTCCTGTTAGTTTTAACGAGTCCGGCCGTTCTTCTCTGACCTACATCATTAGCTAGGTGTTTTCGGCCACAGATATGCTGCTGATTGGACACCCATGCATCGCAGTTCCCTGTAAACTCTGCACACTTAAGTGCATGGAAATACCAGGAGTTTTGCTGTTTCTGTGAACCGCCGCGTCACTTGGATGCGCCTTCCATCCTAATGCTTAGCGGAACAGCAAGCGAACCTCTTGACCCTGTTTGCAGGGTGTATGTGTTTAGCTGTAGCCACATGATTGGCTGTTTAGAGGAGCAGACTGTCTGCATTATCAAACCACTGGGTGTATATTGGAGTTGCATGGAAGTAATCAATATACTATCCATCAGTTTGTCTTCTGACTGCTTCCTGTGATCAGGGGATATTGCATTTTACTGAAGAATTTTGCGCTTTTGAATGCAAAACCGATCTTAAAATGAATAAATGCTATAAAATATTATGCCAAAATTGTTTGTTTATTTATCGTTTGCTCTGCATTCTCACTTGGAGGCTCAGACTGGACATTTTGCTGTCTGCCGTTTTCAGCGATTTTCGTTGTTAAGTTGGTCACAGCCGCGCCTAGATTGCCGCAGCGTAAAGCCGGTGGCTGTGTTAACGCCCTGAAGCTCAGGGAGGCTTAAAGCTCCGCTAATGGCAGGCAGGCCGGCCGCTGACCGGAGAGACACTCATGTGGCTTCTAAGCAAACAGTCTTCAGATCCCAGCCCCGCTAAAGGTCAGCCACGCTTAAATGGGTACTGCCGAATTAATAACTCAAACACAGCATTAGGACGTTTACTGAGGAAATGGTATAAATTTTACCTCTAACGAGCCGCTGGTGAGTTTTTTTTTTTTTTTTACTTTAGCCGTCATGTACGACTCAGTAGGTCCAAAGTAGTACAATTCATAGCTTTTGCTCATTAATTTTCCTTTAATTTTTTGGCCAGTAAGTATTTAAGGTCAATGTTTGATGAATTCTCATTACAAATTCACAGTTTTCCACATCCTCCGTTTTATTTTTAAAAGTTTTCTTATTTCTATTAATGGTATATTTCTTATTGTGCCACTGTGAAAAATCTGAGAAAATTAAAACTTTTGAAAGTTTGTTGGCAAACTTGTTTTCTTCAGCAAATATATGTGTGTTTTGCAGCTTGTTCTTTAAAGGTGAAGATGATTTAACCTGTAATATTTATTGTTGGTATGAATCCTTATTACCGGGTTTTGTCGGGGGGGAATAGGGTTCACGTTTTCTTTCTTATCAACCAGCCGACTGTGGATTTGTCACGGTGCCCGGAGCTGTGAACAAATGCCTTAAATAAACAAAAGGCCCAGTCTGACTCTGAGTGGGAGGGTTCAGCGCTGAACACTGGCGTCCAGGTAATTATTGAAGGTAGAAGTTTCCAGAAGCCGCTGTGGGTGGCATTTACTCTGTGCTCTTTATAATGTTTACTGTAATCACTGCCTGTCTTAACCCAAGAGGGAATCTTATAGTTTCCGTGGAGTTAAGCCAACAGCCACCGGTGGTGCCCACCATTCCCAGCCACCAGTCCCATCCCTCCCATATCAGCCAAAAAGCCAGGCTGGTTAACCTGTGATCAGACAAAGGATGATGAGGGAGGGAATGAAGCCGCTCAGCTTCACTGCATTTTTCACCATTCATTACTCCATCCATCCATCCATCCAGTCTCCTCCTGCTTCTTCCTGGCCAGGGTCACAGGGGGCCTGGAGCCCAGGCAGGGGTACGCCATCTATATTAATGGATAAACCATTAATCCCACCCTATGCCTCATTTCTCCTTTCTTGGTTTGTCACCAAAGACAAACATACCCCCCCCCCCCAGCGACAGCCTGGATTGCAGGCTAAATCCCTCATTGGCTTATGATTGACAGCATACTTAATGCTGCCTATTGCTAGGCGTCATCACGTGGTGAGTGACACACCTGAGTGTCCTCATAGCACACGGCCGGTGACACAAATGACATGCATGTTTCTGTATTTACTGTACATGTTCTACAGCCTGATGTACCATCTGCCTTTTTTATATATATATAAAAAAATATATTTTACTTCTTCAGCCAGCATTTTTATCCAAAGTGACACAGGGTCAGACAGTTCCTTGAGCAACTGGGGTTAAGGCCCAAAGGTAAAACCACTCTGCTGATCTTTGGATTTGAACCAGCAACCTTCTGATTATGAGCACAGCATCCTAACCAACTGAGGCACAGAACCCCCTCCCCCCGATATTAATCTCATTCAGTTAGAGTAACTGTATCGGTGGAATATGAGCCTACAGTTGGCCACCCAAGTGGTCGGTGGTCCTCCGCACAGGAGGGGGCGCTGTAGTAACCATAGCCCTGCTAAGAGGCCTCGCCCTACTGGTGATCAGGGAGCCACTGCAGGACCATGCATACCTTATTCACGTAAGCTTACGGAGTTGACAGGGAGGCCGTTTGCTGGGGACTGAACTGGGCCGATTAATGAGTAGATTCATTCATTTCAGGCACAAGCCTTTAATGGATTTCTGTGCAGAGATATCCTCCCTCCCACCACAAACTTTGTCTCAAAGCTGCACATAAGCAGACACCCTCGGTTTTTATGTCTGATTTGCATAATATTTAGTTTACATAATTGATTTCCGGGGAAGAGCTTCTCCCCGTAGCTCGACGCGCAAAGGTTGCATGTTATCCGTTTAGCTCCTCGCTAAGCCGCCGCCTTTCTGCTCTCTCACTTTGATTGGGTTTAATTTTCCAGCATTTTCCCTGGTCTCTGCCCGGCGCTCTAAGTATATAAAGCGCTAAGGATCACCGGACGCAGACTTGCTAAGGCGGGGGGCTTTACTTTGTGGTTTAACCTGCACGATCCCTGGATTTGTGTGGGTGTGTGTTGTACACAAGTCTGGACCCTCGGTGTCTGCCGATCCATTCCTTGGCCTCTCTGTGCCGCCGAGGCATCCGATTAATCAGAGAGGACAAGGCAAACTCGTAATCAAAGGACGACGCATATGGAGGGACAGTGCCTCTCTGCCCTGCAACTATTCACATTGACATTAGGGGGTGCCATTGTGCGGAAGAGGTCATGAGGAGCGAGCGGAACTCGGGTTCGAGCAGAGGCGTGTGACAGGCACACGCACGCCGAATGGTTTCTGACACAGGGATGATGGGATTGGCGTGGAAAATACTGGAACGTTTTCCACGGAACGCAGAACGTCTGGGGGAGGCGGGCCTAGGGCTGGGGTAATGGACGCGCTTAATGAGGTGTACATGGGAGTCCGGGCTGAGCGCGCGGTTCCCCCGGCAGCAGCCCGTTACCGCGTACGGATCCCAGCACTCGCAGCTAACGGCCATTTTATCTGGGCCCCCCCCTTTGTGTTTGGAAATGGCTCTAATTTTATGGCACCCGGGCACTGGTTTTGGAATCGCTGCGATGCCCCCCCCCCCCCCCCCCCCCCCCGGCCGCGGGAAGGAGGACGCGGTTAACGGAGCGGAGACTGGCCGCCGAGTGTAAATGGCAGAAGTCTCCAGCTAGGCGGGAACGGGCCAGTTAAACAGATGGCGCTGGGTGTAACGGCGTCATGCCGCCCGCCCCCCAAACGGCGCACTCCGCGGCCGTGCAGCCCCCCCACCTGCTTATTTTACCAAGCGTGCCCGCTTCATCACATGGGAGCTCATTCCCGTTTGTGACACAGAGGCTTCTGGGTAAAGACAGATTTAGAAGGAAGTCTGTGTCTGAAACCTGAGGTCCAAATTGCCACATTAAATCCGCCGTCACCTAAAGCGCCTGTTCCCTGGCTTTGGCGAAGATGCTTTTTCCGATGCCGCGATGAAATCCGTCTTGCACTCTGCTTATCCAGTCGCGATGAGTCTGAAGCAGGGGACACCTTGGATGGGACGCCGGTCTGTCGCAGATCGCAC